ATGTTTCCAGATTGGACGAGTATATACCTCTGTGGTCTTCACAGGCATCGTTATTGTGCGTTGTTGCACGCAAATATGGCGTCTGCAACATTAAGAAAATTACAATAAAAATGAGAAATAATTTAAATGAGATTTCATTTGAAGAAGTGAAATTTTTATTATATGGAAAAGTTTCGCTTAATTGGTTTTGGCGTTACACAAACTATTTAAGAGCCACTATAAACTTTGCGATATAAAAAATACATTTAATTTGCATTTTATGTATAAAAATGAGTAAAGTTATTATTGCATCGATCTTTAATATTAATTGAATGCAATATTAAATGATTCTGTTGCTTGTGTTTTAATTTTTTTTATGAGTTTCTAATAAATTCCATATTTATTACTTGAAGTCTGCAGAGTCGTTGCGATTGTATTTAATTTATTCAAAATTTTATTGCAACGTGATCGTACTCATAGCATGCACAACTCTGCTCATAAGACTATGTTATAGGTCTGTACAGCACTGCTAAAGAAGTACTTTAATCTTTAATTCATATAATACCAATAGAAATAAACTTAAATATTTTAAATTACAGTTTAGAAAAGAATTTCCGTTCAGGGAAAATAACTTACGCTACTCTAAAACTAAAAAAAATTAAAGTTTTATGTTTCTTCTTCTTGCTTGACTAATATTTAGTTCTTTCTGTACTGAGTCATAGCCAATTAGATCGTTGTCATTATAAGAGAAGCGCTGCCAATTTTTAATCTGGTAATTCTACTTCAACTTCAATACAATCGATCCAATGCTTATCAAATTTTTGCACTTTTTTGGAATAGTACGTCAACACCTTTGAAAAATACTTTTTCCCATATGATAATCAGACGTTCAATAAATTTTAATATTATCTTATAAAGATTTGTACTTTGTAGCGGGGATTTTATTTTCTTCTACAGATTTCAACTATATATTAAACTATATGTTCAGCTATATGTTAAGATCGCTACATAATAATGAGGTCACAGGAAGGAAGCACTATCGAAAGACGAATCGTTTCGTCATACACTCCTGGATGCGTTTTTTAATTTCCACTCTTTACTGCTGATTGTATTGATATTAATATTATATTACTGTATTAAATATCTTATTCAAATATTACTTACTATAACAGCAGTTCAAGTAATTTATGTTATTATTTTTTTTTTTCTCTTTGTGGACCATAAATGTTTTCAAATTGAAAATAGAGATTATTTTGAGAGCAGTTAGAAATTGTAGTGTTCGAGTAAAATAGTAAATTTACCAGTACTCTGCTGTAATATAATGTATTCTAAATACAATAATAGTTCAAAGTCCTCCATTATAAGAGTAATATAGAAAGGTTGCCCCTTATGACCGATAATTAATTTCTATTAAGTCTGTAAAAAAAACTCTCTTATTGTATATATTTTATTATAATCTTTCCTGGAAGTGTTTAGAATAAAATTGGAAAATTCGGGCAAGATTTTTAATTTTAAAAATGTTTAAGTTGTGGGAATAGAGGCGACAAATAAATGGAGATATTTAAAGATAAATGTTATTTTAAGATAAGTAAGAATATCCAACATATTCCAATAGATGACGGAAATAATTAATGTAATTTGATTAATCGTGTCACTCAAAATTGCCCCAATGTAACGGATGAAGTAGAAAAAAATAGAAATTGAGTTTCTTTTCTTAATTATTCGAGAATACGCATTTCTAAAGCATCTACAATCGATTGTATTGCACTTGATTTTAATAAAATTGCTGATCTTTAAATCAACAGACTCATATTATACAATTTTACTCAGAAACTTAGGGTTTAGGGAACTTTGATTTTTTAGAATACGAAACTACTGTACGGTTTTAACAAAACGCATAATATCGTTAATTCCTACATTGGAAATATTGTACAGCCACTTAGAAAATTATTCTAAAGTGGATCCTGTCGAATTCTAAGCAGTGAGAGAGTAGATGACTCTTCCTTCTCTAACCCATCGGTATGACAGTAATCGTTTAAAATGGGAAACTACTGCATTGTTTTAACAAAATGGTCAATATCTTTAGTATCTACACTAGTAATATAATATTCTACAGACACTTGACAATGGATTTTCTTAAATTAGATACTAATGAAATCCAAGAAGTGATAGAGTGGATAACTGTTCGTTCTTTAACCAATAGCTACGCCAATAAATGTTAAAAGATTTCATAATTTTTTTGTATGCCTGCCTATTGACGGTATTAATTATAATTAATTACATAACTGTAGAGCACGTATACTAATTAAGGGGAAGATTGAGAGGTAATCCAGTTTAATCAGTTGCTTTCTGATTCTAACTCAGTCATGCCATATG